GGGCAGCGGCCACACTGGCCGCCGGCGCGCCCCGTGCCAAGCGTCTGGGGTCCTTTGTCCCGCGTGTACTCACATGCGCCAGTGGGGAGGAAGTGGGTTCGGGGTGTCGTTCCCGCGCCGCCCCGCATCTACAGCTGGACGTGGGGTGAGCGGAGCTGTGGTGCCACACGCCGCCGCCGGCTTCTGCCCTCCGCCCGCCTCGCTCAGACCTCGGGGCACGCGGTGGGGGCGGGTCCCGGGGGGCCGGCAGACCTAGGGTTGGGGGCTGAGTGGGAAGGGTCCCCAGGGCAGCCACCTGCTCCTGGACACTCCGGGCATGAAGTGGCCGGGGCAGCAGGAGTGAGGGCAGGCGGTCCATGGGTCCTCGCTGTCCAGAGCCATCAAAAGGGGCGTGTGCTTGGGGACAGCATGGTGTGGGACGGCCGCTGGGTTGCACAACATACAAATTGTGGCTGGGTTAACCCCCCCCACCCCCCCAGGCACAGTCACTTCAAAATGATCATTACGAGGCTAGAGGGACTTGGGAGGTCGCCCGGTCACTGCTAGGTCAGGAGTCCCCTATAAGGAATGGTCAGCACGGTGTAAACACCTCCAGCAACAGGGCACTCACCACTTCACAAAGCAAATTCTCCCATCTGCACAAAAAGGAACTTTTGAAGTTTGGAAGCAGATGGAGGCTGCTTTGGTTCAAGGGACTGTGTCCCTTGGTGGACCTTGGTTATAGCCCTTGACCGCCTGTATGACCCTGCTGTATGACGTTTTTCTTAGGTTTATAAAGCGAGTTTAAATTAGGTAATTCCCAAGGACCCTCTCACCTCTGATGGCCACTGAGTCTATGAATGCTTTAATCTGTATTTGCCTTCTTGCATTCGATCGGTAATAATAGGAACATTTACTAGACCTCCTCTGCAACCTACTTGAGCTTGGAGCCTCAGTCTCCTCTTCCGTAAAATGAGAAGAATCAAGCTCCTTGCACCCTTGCAGAGCAAAACCTTCGGGAGTCAGGCAGTCAGGGATTCAGATCTTAGCCCTGTTACTTTCAAGCAGTGTGACCATGGCCGATTTTCTGAATCTCTCTTAGCCTCAGTCTAGTCCCCAGTAAAACAGAGAGGGTCTTAGCACCTGCTTCAGAAAGTTGTGATTACATGGAAAAAAAAAAAAAAAGTTCGTAAAGTCTGATCCCAGTGTCTGGTCGGCTGCCCCGCTGGTCATGGCAGACTGTGGGTGTCTTTGTGGTTGTAGGTCATCACCGGAGGCCACTACGACGTGGACTGCTACGTGGAGGACCCCCTGGGGAACACCATCTACCGGGAGACCAAGAAGCAGTATGACAGCTTCACGCACCAGGCTGAGGTCAAGGGCGTTTATCAGTTTTGCTTCAGTAATGAGTTTTCCACCTTCTCTCACAAGACCGTCTACTTTGACTTTCAAGTGGGCGACGAGCCCCCCATTCTCCCAGACATGGGGAACAGGGTCACAGCTCTCACCCAGGTGAGTGGACATCAGCCGGCCCGGGCTGGCTCAGCCTTCAGCCTGTTCCTCCTCTTCTCTTCCTGTCTTGGCCGATGTTCAGCGTCACCACCCCCTCCGCTACCCCCAGGCCCCCGGGCTGGAAGGCTCAGGGTCGCTTTACCTCTTTGCATGTCCGGTCCTCAAGGACACCTTCCCCTTCTGAGCCCCCTGCACTGTTTTGCCGATCCCTGCAGGACTTTCCTCTGGCATTCCTGGGTTCCGGCTCAGTCTTCCACACAGCACCACTGTGGAAGGGCCTTGCCGTGCCCCCCTCTGCTTACACCATATGTCTACATCATTAAGGCCAAAGGCCTGCTTTGTATGGCGTGCTCGCTCAGGTAATGTGAGCCGCTACGCCCCAGGTGTCGACGGCCTAAGGGACTGACTCAAGAATGGGGGGTTTCTCTTCCTTATCATCTGTCTGCTGTCTGTCAGGGCTTCAGGCCCCTCTGCGTCTGGCCACCAGAAGAAGGGGGCAGCGAGAAAGCCCCACCTGTTTCTTAAACGCCCTGGCCCAGAAGTGACGCACAGCATGTGCACTCACGTCCCGTTGCTGACAAATGGTGGGCGCATCTGCATGCAGGGAGGCCTGGCAGGTCATCATCTCTGTCGTGTGTGGCTCTCGGGGTCAGTGATCATCTGACCCCGGGCTCCTTCACCGCCCTCCCCCCTGCTGGTAAAGCTCCTGCCTCTCGTGTGCAGGCTCTCAGCTTCCCGAGGCTCGCATTCCGTGTCCTGTCCCTGCGTCCCAGTGCTTGGAGCTTGGCACCGAGTATTTGTCAGATCACTGAGAGGCAGGGCCCAGGGAATCCTGCAAGACAGCAAGGACTGTGGTGGCTGCGCTGATCTTGAGCCAAAGCCAGAGTGTCTGAGTCTCCAGGCGGGGCCAGAGCACCTTCCGGGCTGCCTCCAGGGGGTCCGCACTCCGTTTCTGTGGCTCTGCCCGTGGGTTCGTCTGCCCTCCCCGCGCGTGGTGGAAGGTTAGTGCTGCACTCTCCGGTATCGTGGTCTGGCTACGTAAGGCGATTTTAATTTAAACGCATTAAAATTAAATCAAAAGCCTTCTTCCTTGCTCGCCATATGGGAGCATCTCTGGTGCTCGGTATTGCAGGTGGCCACACACGGACAGCCCTGCTGGGCAGCACTGGGTCTGAGCCCGGCCATGTGAGCTCTGGTGGAAGATCCAGCCCAGGTGGGTTCTGTGTGGGAGCTTTCACAACCTGTACTCGAGAGTTCTGTTGTCGCTGATGAAACAGCCTCCATGCTGGAGATTTTGAAGCTCTCTAGAAGCTGAGCTGAAGGCTTTCCCTCTCTCACCAGTGGAAAACAGAGCGGTAGGGAAAAGCCTGCATGGTTGGTCAGTGCAACAGAGAAATTCTTTCCTGGAGCCTTAGAATTAGATTTGGTTTTGTTGCAGTAAGACTGGTGACATTTCCCCCCCTACATCGCCGGACCTCATGTTTTCCCCTGCCCAGCCTCAGATGAGGGGTTTCCTTCCACTGCGTAACCCCGGACCCCTCTGCCCTGAATGGGAGTCTGTGACCCCAAGAGCTCCCGGGCCTCCCCCCTGCCCCTTGGGCACTTGAGCCGTCTACGCAAGGTGCTGGCTGGGGGCAGCCTGAGATGAGCGGTCGTGTCCCTGGCGTGGGCAGCTCTGCGTGGAACACAGCCCTGAAAACCAGTTAGCCGCGGGGCGCAGTGATCAGAGCTGTGGGTTATGGGACGGCTCTCGGGAGGGGCCAGTTGATCCCAGGGAGTCAGGGACCAGCAGGTGCAAATGTAGGGGTGTAACTTCCATTTTCTTCCCTGGTCCTTATTTTCCTTGCTCGGTGTGGGTCCCCCATTGGCCACGGTGTTCTCACTTGCCCCCAGACCTCTTCTAGCTCGGTGGTGGCTTAGGGGCCATGTTTTCTGGCCCCAGAATCCATACTAGGATGAAAGAGCAGGATCCAGAGTGACCACGGTCCAGGCCGTGGATGTAGGCCATGGGAACTTGTCTCCGGCTTGGGCTCCAGCATGACCAGGCTCCCAGGAGAGGCATGGGCTGGGAGGATGTCCCCAGGGCGGCCGAGCTTCCGGTGCTCAGGGCATCCTGAGGGTCTGGGCAGATCCTAGCGGAGGCCGAAACTCTGCAACGGAGGTCACAGGCCCGGGGCTGCCTCCGTGGTGGCCTGGGGAGGGGTCGGTGTTTCCCTGTGTCTGCTCTGAGGTCAGCTCATGATTGCCTGTCTCTGCGTCCTTGAAGTCTGTAAAGAACCAAGTTCTGCTACCAGTGGAGGCGAGGCCTGAGGGAGTTTGCTGGGGGTTGCATCGCCGGGTGGTAGGGACAGGGTGAGGTTGTGTGGCAGTGGAGGAAGGGGACAGCCCCGGGAGGGGGACAGGTCATGGTGTCTCCAGGGACTGACTGTCCCGATGGAGCAGTGACCAGAATCCCTGGGTGGGGGGGCTCGTAGACTCTGGAGAGCAGCCAGGGCTGGTGGTCTTGGCAGAGCGGAAGGCTGCGCCCCCGCCCAGGAGGGCCCACGGCCCTGGGAAGGCAGGGCTCTTCCAGGGAGAAGCGATTCTGCTGGCCTCCTGCCCAGTGGGAAGCAGGCTGGATGGGTTGCTGAACTGAAATGTTGTGGTAACAGGCCGAGGAGGTGCCTTTCAGACAGTAGGTCCGGCGGAAGATCCCAGTGGTGGGACGGAGCCCGCTCTTACGGGAGGGGGATGCTGCCAGGGGGTCTGTGAATCCCGTGACGTGTTGCTCTCGGGTCTCCTGTGGGGCCTGCGCCGGGAAGGCTGTGTGAGCACCTGTTGCCCTCTGGGAACTGGCCTCCTTCCCTGTCACGGATCTCATCTGAGACTCTAAAGTCGCCGCGGCTGTCTTGCCAGAACCGTGGTGCAGGTCTCTGGCCTGTGGCCTCCGACCCAGGCCTGAAGGTGGTGCCTCACGTGGCATCTGACGTGTCCTCTGCATCTGTGGCTTGTGAGTCCTCCCTGTTCCTCTTCCTTGTCCCTCCCTCTGTTTGCAGTGATTCTGGACCCTGGGAGGAGGCTGGACATGCCGGCCCGCATTGCCAGGCCCCCGGGGTGCTCCCAGGCCAGGTGAGCCCAGTGTGCACAGAGTTTCTGAATGAGCTTGGGACGGAAATAAACTTAGTGGATTTCTAGCCTGGAGACCCAAACGAGCCCTTTTCTCGTGTTTAAAAACAAAGTCTGTGTGTATTTATGCATACTGAGTGCGTGTGCGTGTCCATACACTCACACACGTGCACACGCACGTATGTGTGTGTGTCCCCATCCAACCCCCTCTTTCAAGGATGACCTGCCTGCCGCCGGGTCCTCTCAGCGCCCGGGTCCGCTCTTCTGCTCCACAGAGCACAGCCCCCCTCCAGACTGGCTCCCGCCGGCCCCTCTCAGCGTCCTGGCTCCCGGGGGCCTCGTAAAGTGGGGTTCTGAGCTTGCCATCCTGCTCACAGCACTTTGCAGTGAGGGATCCGTCCTGAGGCCTTTACCGTGAGCCGCCCCCCCACGCTTCTTTGCTCGCATCCCTGAGTCCGGCGGCCCTCCCTGTGCCTTACGTGAGCTTCTATCGCTCGGCTGCCTTCTCTCCCCTGCCTGTCCACCAGGCACAGCCTTGCCCGCCTTCCCCTCCCCTGCCTGTCCGCCAGGCGCAGCCTCGCCCATCCTCCCCTCCCCTGCCCATCTGCCAGGCTCAGCCTCGCCCGTCCTCCCCTCCCCTGCCCATCTGCCAGGCTCAGCCTCGCCCGTCCTCCCCTCCCCTGCCCGTCCGCCAGGCTCAGCCTCGCCCCCCACCTGGGCACTTCCCATGGGAAGAGCGCCTCCCCTTCCTCCTGCAGGATTAGCAGCTGTCCCCTGGGCGGTCCCACAACTCTGTACGCCCTCCTGCTGGCTCCTTTCGGGATGCATCCAGTCTGTTCTCCCTTAAACTTGCTGACACAGGACTGTGTCTGTGACCGATTCGTCTCCTCGTTCCCCGGGCCCAGCACAGTGCCTGGGAGCTGAGGAGCTGAGGAGGTATCGCTGTGCATGTGAATGAACACATTAGTGGAAGTTTGGGCCATGAGAGAAAACCCCGTGCCGTCTGAAATTCTCGTCTCGTTCTTACAGGTGCTCCTGTGGAGCCCCTGGCCCCTGTCGGATTGTGGCCTTGCAGGGATGGGCAGGCTGGTGTGAATGCAGGACCAGTGTGACCCTCCACATCTCCCTGTGTCCTAGGTAGTGACCGGAAGTGAGCAGAGGGAGGCTTCTGGAGATGCCGTATCTAGATTTGGCCTGGATACAGGCTCACAGGGGTCAAGCCTGACCTCACACTGCAGCCGCTTCCCCAGTCCTTTCCAGGTTGGTCCCCCGTTCCCTCTGTGATGGTGGCCGTGCCTTCCTGAGCTCTGGAGGCGTCAGTGGAAGAGCTGGGGGGAGCGCGCCTCCAGCAGAGAGCTCTGTGCCCCGAGTGGTCCTGCTGGTGGCTGTCACTTGGAAGTCTCCTTCGGGGTCAAGTCTGTGATGTCAGGAACCCTTCTGGGGTCGGTTGGCTGTCTCTCAACATCAAACGCCCGTAGGCGTGAGCTACCTACTAAACGTGGGGCAGGTAAAGGTGCCCGGCGCTGACTGGTCTGGGTGCGAGGTTATGGCCCACGATCACAGGGCACGCAGGATGCCACCAAGAATGCAGGATGAAGGTACCCCTTGGGGGACCCACTGACGCCCAAATGGACCTGTTCTTTCCCGTGGATTCTGCCCCTCGACCCCCTGCCCCACGGAGCCCCATGAATTCCATGTTCTGCACGGTGACCTCGTCACTGTTCCGTCTGTGTGGCTCTTCCCCACGGGCCAGAAGGACAGCGCCAGCCCCCGTGTTTAGAGGGAACCCGTGGCCCTGGGAGGTGGGCCGCTCGTCAGGCAGATGCAGGACATGGCCTCATAGGAAGCTCTTGTCCTTCCTCATGGGGTCCAGAGTGGAGAGTGCCCAGCCAGGAGAATAAGCCAACAGGACTTCTTGGCTGGGGTCTCCCATTGGTCTCGGGGACACTGTTCAGCCTGTGAGAGAAACGGGGTCTTGGGGTTGGTCAGGTGGTGGCGCAGTGACTCGGTCTCCCCTCTCTTCTCATGCTCACTGTATGGACGGGTCGCCACTGCAGTCTGGGGACCGAGGCAGGTGTCTCCTGGACGCTTTGTGAGCTTGTCTAGCCTGAGAACGTGTTGTTGGCATAGAACTGTGTAGGTTTGGCATGAACTCATGACCTCCCACGGGCACATGGGTTAGTTCTCCTTCGCTGACTACTGACGGCCTCAAACAACACCCCTGTATTGTCTCTGGCCCGGCGGGGTCCAGGCCGGGTCAGGGTGCGGCCGGTGGGACCTCCTCATGAGGCCCTGGGAGGGATCTGGTTCCACACCCGCCAGATTGTTGGTGGGTTCAGTTCCCTACAGCGGAAGGTGCTGGGGTCCTGGGGCCGCTGGGACGGTTTTGGGGTTCTGCCTGGCACGCGTGGTGTTGGACCAGGGAAAGGAGGTTGCAGGTTAGCGTGCGTCCCGCGTGAGCATCCGTGTGTAAGCGTGTACGTTTGTAGGTATATATGCTTTGGTGTGTGTTCCTGTGTGTGTGAGCGTGTGTGCGTGAAACTGTCCGCAGCGACTGTAGCGGAACGGGGCGTCCCGCACGATTGTGGTTTACTTCTCTGCCGTTAGCTGTGTGACCTGGGGCCAGTCCCACGGTGTCTCTGAGCCCCAGTCCCCTCGTCAGCACGTGGGGTGAGCGGGCCGTGGGGAGTCAGGAGTGTCAGAGAGCACGGGGCGGGCGTGAGAGGCGGTCAGGGGGGTCCTGACGCTGCCACCTGCCGTGGGACGCTGGGCGAGGGCCCTAAGCCCCCCGAGCCCTGGGTGGGCTGAGCACGGAGGCTGAGCTGAGCTGAGCCGCGGCCTCCTTAGCGCACACACACAGCACTCGCTTCAGCATGTGCGCCCAGGGCTGCGGCGGCCGCGCGTGGATTCCTCCCTTCTTGTCTAGCGGAGACCGGGACCGCCTCTCTCTTCCTGCCCAGATGGAGTCCGCCTGTGTGACCATCCACGAGGCCCTGAAGACGGTCATTGACTCCCAGACGCATTACCGGCTCCGCGAGGCGCAGGACCGGGCCCGGGCCGAAGACCTCAGCACCCGGGTCTCGTGCTGGTCCGTCGGCGAGGTGATCGCCCTGCTGGTGGTCAGTTTCAGCCAGGTGCTGCTGCTGAAGGCCTTCTTCACGGAGAAGCGAACCAGCCCGCAGGCGCTGCACTCCTAGGCCTCGGCTCCTGCCCCGGGGCCCCGCCCCCAGGCCCCTGCTGGGCCCGAGGGCCACCCTGGGGTGGGGCTGAGCCCCTGGGGTGGTACCCAGCTGCTTACTCCTCGAGCCCGGCGACTGGCGATCTGGAGGCAGCTAGCCGCATTATGTGGGTCACACCGAGAAAAGCGGACAGTCAGGCCCTGACTGTGGGGGGCCCGGGGTCCGGCCGCAGGGGAAGCCCAGGCGCCCCGGCCCCGTGGGGCGGCTACCTCTGCTCCACGGTGCGTGGGTCGTTGGGCTCGGGTGTGTCCCGCCCTCTGTGGAAGAGGGGGGCCGTCGGCTGGCTTGTCTCCTGAAGCTCTCTATCTGCCGGAGACGCGCCCCGAAGCGGCTTTGCAGAGAGGTGGCGTCTTCTGCGGAGGGTGCCCGTGGTGAGCCGTGTGTCTCCCGGAGGCAGCACTCTGGTTAATAAAAGCTAAGCAGGAGCATCGCACAGACTTGTGCCTTTCTTTCTTTCCCTGGAGGAGCGTGCAGCTTCTTGGGGAACGTGGGTGTGCGCAGAGGGCGTGCGGGAGAGCAGCCATGGCCCTCGAGGCGTGTGCATGATGCTGTGCACACACGTATGCGGCCTGGGGCTCCATTGCCCCCCTCCCAGTGGAACGAGAGCGGTGACATGGGGAGCTGGTTATTCTCTCGTCTCAGACTCCGGAGGTCACTGTCGAAACAGCTGATCCTCGAGTCCAAACGGGGGGCTGAGCACAGAAAGGGACAGAGCGATCAGTGGCTGTCCTGTGCTGTGTCCACAGCAGCCACGCTGGTCTCTGTCAAACTTAGGTCAGACTGTGTCCTCCCTGGTCAGCACCGTCCCGTGGCTCCCCGTGTCACTCAGGTCATGGCAGCGTCCTCACTGGGCGCTGTGAAGTCCTGCCTCGTCCGTTTGCAGGCTGTGCTGCCCCATGTCCTCCCACTCCAGCAGGTCTCTTCACTGTTCCTGTAACCACCAGGCCATGCCTCTGCCCCAGGGCCTTTGCACCTGCAGTGTCCTATTGGAACGCTCTCTCCCTGATAACTTACATTACCCGCGAGTTAACCCTAACCACTCCGTTCAGGATGGCGCTGCCCCACCTTCCCCGGCCTCTTGTCTCCCCTGTCCCTGCTTTACTTCTCGGCTACACATCACTGCTGACACATAGGTTTACTTGTCTGTTTACTGTCCTTCGTACCCCATTGGATGTGAGCTCCATGATGGGGTTGGGGGGGTGGGGGGCCGACTTTGCTCGCGGCTGCATCCCCGGTCCCTGGAATGACGCCTGCTACATACCGAGGTCTTCACACATATTAGTTGCTGAACCAGCAGCCTTGCCTTCAGAAGCTGATGCATACTGAGCAAGCGTCTCTGAAGTAGGTCTCGAAGGAAGATCTGACGCCCGCCCTAAAGGACATCTTCCGAGCTGCCTGGCAGGTGTTCGTGATGCTTCGTAGACTCGTCGCCTGGGAGTGACTCCATGAGGCTTGCTGAGCTTAGTTGAGATAAATGCTGCTTATCTGTTCATATGTGTTTGAGAGTACTTCTCCCTTATTTTAAAGTTGCATATAACACCCAGTGCTCATCCCATCAAATACCGAGCTGCAGCCGGGGGTCAGAAGCGTGGGTGACAGCCTGGCCTCGCGACTGGCGTGTGGCACGGGGACGGTCTGGTGGGGCGGGGCCCGTGGCCTGCGGGATGTGGCGCTGTGTCCGGGTGGATGACAGGGGAGTGATGCCATAGGACACCCCGCCGGTGCCACGGAGTTGCTCATGGGGAACTGCCTGCCATCAGAAGCTCTGTGAGTGTCTCGCGTGCGAGATGGTGCCCATCATCAGTGGATGCGGCTGAAGAGCAGCGCGCAAGCACCTGCGAGGGCTCCCCTGCTCAGGAGAAGATCCAGCCCTTTCCCGCCGGAGCCCCGCGTGCCCGAGGCCTCAGGCTCCAGAGCGGCCGGTGCAGGAGCTCTTCCGCTGAAGCAACGGGGATGAGCTGGGGGGGGGGCCCCTCAGGGCACAGGAAGCTCCTGTTTTACTAGAACCTTCCTCCCTTTAAGACTCTTGCAAAGGATCGATTTTCTCTTAAGGACAGTGCTCAGTTTCCATGCCCGGATGCGGACCGCAATCACTGGATAGCTGATTGTCATCGGGAACGCACTGCCTCCGGAGAGGCTTGGCCACCGTCCTGGGGCGGGACGGGCAACTCCCCAGACAAGTCAAAGCCTGCGCCCTGTTCCTAGCTGTGACCGAGCTGCGAGGGGTCAGCGGTTGTCTCCTGTAGGCCCCGGGTCCCAAGGATCCAGTCTCTGTCCTGGATGCAAAAGCCTCTGGTCTACTGTTTATGGTGTTTTATTCTGGGCTTTCATGGTGTATGATACGGAGCAGGGAGAAGCTTCACTGCCTCACTGTCCGAGTTTCGGGTCCATCTTCTGGCCGTCGGGGGAACTGTGGATGATGTGGATGGAGCCTGCGGGCCTCCCGGTCCGCCGGGCTGCCACCGCACCTGGATGTGCCCCTTCTTGGCTTTAAACCCCACATAGCCCCATCGTCTGTATTCTAGAGAGTCCTCATCTCTGGGGAGCCGTGAGCCAGGGTGCGCACACACTAGGACTTCACCTGCAGCAGATCCGCGGGGAAGGCCACTCCCCTATGACATTTCTTTATGCAGAATTATAATGCACACAGAACGTTCTTGGCCGGACTCACACGCAAGCACAGTCTAACGTAGGCGAACGACAGGTTATGGGACAGGTTTGGGGAGCACCTGCTTTTCCCGTTCTGATGCAGTCTCGGGCTCACTCCTCCCTGCTCCCCTGGGACCCACCCGTCGGACCTTCTGGGTTACGTGGGAAGCAACCATCTTTTGCTTCATGTAACTCTAGACGTCAGCCCTTTTCACCCTCAGAACTGCCGAGCCGTTGCAGTTCCTGATTCTGACACAGCTTGATGCTGTTTTGCTTCTGCTGGTTTGTGTTTCTCAGTCCAATATTTGGCCACAGGAGAAAACAGGTTTCACATATGGCTTGCTTCTTCACATTCCCTATCACATCCTGGAGAAATCCTCCAAGAACTTGATCAGACTGTTTTCATCATTTGTAGGTCTATTTTCGGCTTTAGGTCTATTTTCGGCTTTCGATAGCACACAGGAACCAATGCAGTCTCAGCCGAGCGTGTTCAAGCCAGATTCTGGTTTCTGAGGCTCCCAAACCTCTGGGTTTGAAACCTCACTGAGCATGAGCAGCGACAATAGAACATTCTCAAATGAAACGAAACAGGGTCGCATCCAGGTGGCTTCTCCTTCAAGCATGGTCCGGTTTGAAACCAGTCTGGTTAATTGATGTGCACTCTCCTGAGCTATAAGACACTGGAGAAAATATGTCCCGCTACGCACTTACGATCGCGGGTCAGGAGCAGGCTTGTAGATGACACACGAGTTTACCTAGTAAGCTCTTAGTAGAGGTCATGGTGTAAGAGTGACCGTGCTAAGAGAAGGGTCTTGGACTTCTGATGTAAGAAGGCAGACTCCTTCCTCTTCCCCCTCCCACCTCCTGTTCTGTGAGATCAACCCAAGCAGGTGAGAGTAAAATAGAATTTAAATCCCTGAAACCAGAGAAAGGTCACAGTCCCGAATCACTAGCTGTCAAATTCGGTGATACACGAAAGGGTTGGGGGAGGGGGGAGATGCCTGGAGCGGTTGTAGCGGGTTGAGATTTTGCTAAGAGAAGGAGGCCTTATCCTGAATGGCCGAGCAGCAGAACCTGGAATGGTACTTCCAGGGGCCGCGTGTGAGCAGCAGAGGTGGCCCCCACTCTAGTCCTCTCCTCCCAGGGGCGGGGCAGGTGCGGTTGGAGGAGAAGCTGGTCAGACGGCTGGGCAGGAGACGTGGCAGGTGGAGGGTGGGGGCCCTGGGGGCAATCTGCTGTGTAGCCAGGATCACGCCAAATCTGCCCCCCGGCAGGAAAAAGGCAACAGGGCTTTAGAGAAGAGTTACAAGAACTCATAGACGAGGTTATACTACAACGGAAAAGATAAAAGAGAGCTGTCAAGATTCAGGGAAACGTAGAAGAGGAAAAAACCATCACAGAAGGGGTCATCAGTTTGCAGATGCCAGGGAACAGGTGCGGCCAGAATCTCAGGGAGGGAGGCTGGAGAAAAGCCCAGAAAGACTGCCCCGAATAAAGCGGACAGAGAACTCAGAGCTGGACGTTACTGGGGACAAACATTTGTACACCAGAGCGAGTCCGTCATGCAGGTCTGGGTGTCCCTGAAGAAGAAAACAGAACCACGACAGCAAAGACCAAAGAGCAGGTGATCCACGAGAAGAAATCTGTGATTTCCAACGTTTCCAGGACATTTACTGGAGAAGACCGTGGAGTGGTGTCCAGGGAGCTGCAGGAAAGAATGCAGACCCAGGAAGATTAGGAACTGCTCACTGCCATCCAGATACAAAGGCAGCAGGTGACGATTTTAGAACTGGAAGGTGTGAGGGGGACAGCGCGCCCATTCTGGAATAAGCTGCCGGTGAGGAGCCCCGCGACCCAGCGTGGGAGAGAAGCAGCGCACAAAGGGCATGCGTGTTTCTGTGAGCGCTTCGTCCACGATGACGCCCACCTGGGACTGGGGGCTGGGGAACCGGGGGAAGTCCTGTCAGAATACATTGTATCAATCCCCATTGACGAACAGTGATTTAACAATACAGCAAGTTGAGATTGAGAACTAGAGAGTGAGGGAGATGGGGGAGGTGCAGATGCTCACTTCCTTATTTTTCCTGCTGCGAATTTAAGAAATAATCATCATGACAACCACAGAAGAAATTACACTGCACTCTTACTGTGGGCCAACCATCGTTTGAAGTGCTTGAGCTCTCCAGACGGCTCCATGACATGGGGACTATTACCATTCCTGTTTTATAGTGGGGAAACTGAGGCACAGAGCATTTATTCAGCTTTCCTTGAAGCCATCTAGCTCGTAAGAGTAAAATGAGGGATGCTCTTTAGTCTTCTCAAGAGTCCTTGAAAAAGAAGCTGGATTCATAAATGGATTAATAAAATCCATTCCTTTCTTCTTCTCTTTTTTTTAAACAGAGAGAGCTACTGATTCTATCCATTGTGAGTCTGGTTCCAGTGAGGTGGGACATTTCTTTTAGGCTGGCTCATGAGAAACAGAGAAACAATAGGATTTATTACAGGAGATTTCCTATAGGAATTGGCTCACACGGTCGTGGAGGCTGAGAAGTCCCCGGACCTGCCAGATGCAAGCTGCAGTAGCAGGAAAGCGAGGGGTGTTGGTCAGTCTGAGGCCGAGGGGGCCGTGCTGCGAATCCCGATGTGAGCCCGAGAGCCTGAGAACGGGGAGCACCGTGTCTGAGGGCAGGGGCGGGCTGAGTGTCCCAGCTCAAGCCAAGAGCAAATTCACCCTCCCCCATGGCGGGATGAGGGCGGTAAGTGGGGAGCAGAGTCAGACCCCTG